TCTTTTCTAATGTGAATTTTTAAGGCTAGAAAATTCCATCTGAATATGGCATTAACTTTGCATCCCACAAGCCACATTCCACTCATTTCATTGTCATTCAATTCTATTTTATTAATTTTTCATTTTAATTTTTCTTCATTCCGTATGTAGGTAAAATGTTTTTTTAATTTCCAAATGTATATTTTAATAAACATTTTATCTTAGAACAGTTTTAGATTCTTACAGAAAACTTGTGAAGAGAATCCCCATATTAATTAATACATTCATTATTTAGTTGTGATTAGACTGCAAATTTTTCTGATATCTATTATTTCAAATTTGCTTTATGGCCCAGTGCATGATCGGTTTTCATATGTCTCATATGCTTAAAATGATGTGTATTCTCAAATTATTGGGTACAAGATTGGCTATAATTCTCTATATGTTTATTAAGTTAAGCTTTTTAATAGAGTTTCATAACTTCTATATTCTTACTTAGTTTTGTCAGTTACTGAGAGTGTTGTTACAATCTCCCAAGAGTGATAATTTTCTCTTTGTCAGTTTTGTAGACATATACACAATGACACTTTGACAATATATAGAGGTTCATGGAAATTTAGAATTATTTCATCCACTTGTGAATTTACTTTTTATCATTTTATAGTGACTTTTTTTAAATTCCTAATGCTGCTTTAGGAAATCTGATAGATCCTAATAAAGTTACATCGGCTTTTTTTAGGTATTTGTCTGTTATAACTTTTTCTGTCCTTTTACATCCAGACTTTCTATCTTTATGTTTTAAAGTCCTGTTTAAAGCACATGGTTCTAATTTGTTTCATTAGTTTTTTAATCCATCCTGACATTTTGGGGATGTTTCTATCCTTTTACAGTCATGTGCTGTATAACAACATTTCAGGCAGTGATGGACCTCATATATAATGGTGGTCCCTTAAGATTAGTACCATATATCTTAGGTGTGTAGTAGGGTATACATTCTGGGTTTGTGTAAGTACACCCTATGATGTTTGCACAACGAAGTTGCCTAATGATGCTTTTCTCAGAATGTATCCCTGCTGTTAAGTGATGCATTGACTGTATTTTATTATTTCTCTTGATCCTGTTTTCTCTGTGATTCACTTCTCTTTTGCTATCTTCTTTTGGATTTGTCAAGTAGTTCACCTCATTTTTTCCTCTACTATTTTGGAAGTTACATTCTATTTCCTTAGCAGTAACCTTCACATTTTAACATTCATAGTTAATTTATTATCTAAATAATCAGAAACTCTTTCCTTCTCCTGAATAATATAAAGATTTTTAAACATTTAATTTCAGTCATCTGTCTTACATGTTTTCATTATCTAGTTATGTTTCTTCTGCCTTTTTATCTCCAAAATTAGACATTACAATTATCTTATAGGTAGTATTTTTCTGGACTTACCCATGTGTTTACCAGTCTCTGTGCTCACTAAGCCTTTCATTATGTCAGTCCTAATTTTGTTTCTTACGAAATGCAGTCAGTCATCATTATTAAGTCATCATTATTTGCAGATTCTGTATTTGCAAATTCACCTACTCACTAAAATCTATTTGTAACATGAAAATCAGTCCTTGCTATGCTTTTAGTTTTAGGATCATTCACGGACATGCTCGGGCAGTGAAAAATTTGAGTGGCCAGAGGCACACATTCCCAGCTGAGGTTGAACAATGTGATGCTCTGCCTTCTTATTTCAGCTCTCAGTACTTTAAATAAGTATCTTTTTCACTTTCTATCTAGTGCCACAATTTTTGCATTTTTGTGCTTTTTGTTGGTGATTTCACTGATCTCCAAGGATAATGTTGAAGGGCTGTGTGGTGTTCCTAAGTGCAAAGCTATGATGTGCCTTATGGAGAATATATGTGTGTTAAATAAGCTTCTGTCAGACATAAGTTATAATGCTGTTGGCCATGAGTTCAATGTTAATAAATCAGCAATATATATTAAATAAGGTGTGTTAAAACAGAAATACACATAAAACAAGGTTATGTTTTGGTAGGTTGATGAAAATGTTATGAACAGAGGCTTGCGTTAATGTAACCCTGAATTTCCGTAGGAGCAATGGTTCCATACTTGCTAATTCACTGTTGGCAGTAACTTCATGAAATGTAACTACTGTGAATAATGTGAATTCACTGTACATACTTTGGAAGTTACTGTAGCATTTTGTCTGAAAATTCTGCTCAGCCTGATTTTACTTCTTTTGTAAGTAACCTGAATTTTCACTATGGCTGTTTTAAAGTTATTTTGGTCTCTGGTATTCTGGGGTTTACTATGATGTGTCTAAGTGAGGATTTATTTTTATTTGTCCTGCTTGGGATTTTTTTTTTTTTTTGTGCTTCCTGAATCTAAAGATTTTATATCTCTCATTACTCTCAGGCTTTATATCTTTGACTATAACCCTTAACACATTCTCTTTATTATGTCTTTATGAGATTCCAGATATTAGACCTTATTATTCTATTTTCTTTATCTCTTATCCTCTTTCATAGTAACCTTATTTTTTCACTCTAATCTTAATTCAGATCTATATTCAGTTTGCTAATTTTCTCCTCAGCTTTATGTAATTTTCTTTATCTACTTTGCTCCACACCTAGCTGTGAGTCAAGGCCCATAATGACCCTTAACATTGTCATCTCATCTTCCTTTGCCAGCCATGAGACTTTTTTTCTATCCCACCCTTATGATAATATTGTAGCCTTCAAGGGTTCTAGCTTTATTCAGAAAGTTCAGATCCAGCACCTTACCTTGTGTGGTCCCAATAAGGGGCTTTGGCTTCAGGGGCTTCAGTGCTTCCTACTACTGATATTTCCATTTTCTTCTTTGGTTCTGTCCCCTAAAAGGATTTTCCTTCCCTGTTTGCAAGCTGAGTTCTGTATTTAAAAGGACATTTGTTGTAGTTTATTCAGTATTTTGAGGTGTTTTTCTAAATCTCTAGACTTCCATATTTATGGAAGTGGTTCTTGTCTTTTTAGGATAAAGGGGAAAAAAGCGTTATAGTGTTAAATGAACTTTTATAATGAATCTCCTATTGTTTTTTGGCCAGTATTTTATACCATGATCAACCTTAACTTAATATTGAATACAAATTGGCTATAATAGGCATTCAGCAGTCAGTCCTCAGTATTTGCAGTTTATAGTAAATTTCAAGTTTAAGGGAAGATGAAATCATTCTTCAAAAACAACAAAGAATATCTTATTTACATGAATTCATCTAAAATAATTGGTTTCTTAATTTTGGTTTTAACTATAGTGACTAAAATATCACTACAGAGACATTGATTCTATTTGGGAGATGATTTGGGAAATGAGAAACTATTTCTTGTCCTTTCTTTATTTCCATCTATATCGGTAATTCAGATTCTCAACACAGTTCAATTTTGCTCCCCTTTCCAGGTGATATTTGACAATGTTTGGAGACATTTTAGGTTGTGGCAATTGGGGAGGGAGGGTGCTGGTATCATCTAGTGGTAATGGCCAGGGATGCTGATAAACTTCCTAGAATTCACAGGGCAGCCCCCACAACAAAGTATTTTCTGGCCCAAAATATCAATAGTGCTTAGGTTGAGAAACCCTATTTATAAAAGGAGCTATAACTTTCTCAGTCACCTAGCTGAAATTGATAAATCTTACTTCTAAATGTAAAATATATTTTACATTAAAATTACCCAGAAATTCATACACATACTTATTTTCTTAACAATTCTAGGTGTATCTGTTGTTGATGAAAAATACTCAGGATAGCAAAGTCATCCCTTTCATTATCGATAAATAAGGTGTTAAATTAGAACCACGAAGTCATTGAGAGATGAACAAGGTAGCTTAATTTATGATTTAGTTTTGGTAAATAAAACAAGTCTTGTTTTCTGATAGTGATATAATCAATCCAAAAGTCAGCCTTTTAAACTATATGACGTATGTGTACCTTTCAAAAAAACTAACCCTACATCATTTTTGTAGGTGTCCTGAAGAAATACAGAATCAAGTTTAAAAAAAGTAGATTTTACCTTTTGCTAAAGGGCAGAAAACATACAGAATCTTCCTAACTAGTGATTTAATCATGGTACAAACCAGTTGGTTTTGAAATAATCTACATTGCTTTGTCATATTCATGTGCATATACATCTTATTTGTGAAAGATTTGTGGTATTGCTCATTGGGGTCTTATTGAACAGAGCACTTTTCTTCCCATTTTTTTTAATTTAAAATTTTTAATCTTACAATAGTTTTAGACTTAATGAAAAATTGCAAAATTAGTACAGAGAGTTCTTTTATACCCTTTACCAAGCTTCTCCTAATGTTAACATCTTACATAACTATAATATAATTATCAACATCACTACAGTATTATTAACTAAACTACAGATGTTACTTAATTTCACAAGTTTTTCCACTAATGTCCTTTTTTCTGTTCCAGGATCCACTCCAGGATCCCACATTGCATTTAGTCGGCATGTCTCCTTAGGTATTCTCCATTCTGTGACAGTTCTTCAGTCTTTCTTTGCTTTTCATGAACTTGACACTTGAAGAGTACACTGGTCAGTTATATTGTATAATGTCTCTCAGTTCAGTACTGTCTGATGTTTACTCTTGAGTAGACTGAGGTTATGTTTTTGGCAACAATACCATAGAAATGATGCTATACCCTTCTTAATTCATCATTTCAGAAGGTAAGTGATGTTGAAATGTCTCATTACCGGTGATGTTATCCTTGGTAAGGTGGTGTCTGCCATGTTTTTCTACTTTAAAGTTGCTATTTTTTCCCTTCATAATTAATAAATATCTTTCTTGCCATTAATTTAATTGAGTTTTTTAATGGAAAACAAATGTGGAAGAGATAAAAATTGTTTTCTTTCCTCAAACCCTTTGTGAAGAGTTGGTTTAAATACCATAATCTTATGTGATAACTTTTATAATTTAACACCTTGTTTGCAGGTAGCTAGGTTGGGAAATGACTTTTTTGAATAGCCTTAACATATATTTTCAGAACACCTATTTAACTTGAAGTTTGCTGCAAAAGAACTTAATAGGAATGCCAAGAAATGTGATAAAGAAGAAAAGGCTGAAAAGGCCAAGATTAAAAAAGTAAGCAATTTTTAATATTTTTACTTTTTCTTAAACTCATGAAATGAGCACAATTAATCATGGAAGAGTGGTTAATTGTTTCAGTTTATTTTACATTGAAGAAAGATTGCTGGCTTTAGCATTCTAAAGCAAATATCTATTTAAATAAATTATTTATTATCCAACATAGTTAATAATGACTCTTTTTTGTTTATTACTATTGATATGTGTAAGTATGGCTCACAAGACAGAGTGTAACTGTTCTGTTACCTTACTGTTCTGTTACCTACATCTAAAGACTGTCTTTTGGTTTGTAGCCAAAAGACTCTTACTGAGAAGTATAAAGCCTATTACTGAGAAGTATAAAGCCTATGTGTAAGAATAATATTTAATGTTTGTTGGCCCCTTTTTAATTTTTACAGTCTCTAAAGTTTTATATCTAAACAGTGCATAGCATTAATGTATATTGTGGTTTGTGTATTGTGTATTTGCTAGGAGGATTCACAGGACGCAGCATAGTGTTGTAATCATGTCTATGATGTATTACACTAAAAGGATACAAAGCAAAATCAACAGAGGGAATAGACATATGGGGCAAAGTCTGGAGGAATCCAAGCTCAAGCTTCCAAGAGTTCTCTCATAGTGGAGTCACACAGGGCAAGCTTAATTACTCTAGCAACAAATTATGACAAGATGTGTGAACTGTTATGTACCAGGGAAGTTCTCCTGCACCCAGGAGTCCAAGGCTTTTATTGGTAGTCATGGCATCCTCTGCCTAACACCCACTAAAATTCCAGACTCCCAGAAGGAAATTTGGTACTTAGCATAAACACCACATTGTTTGTACCAACAGTATAAGCAGAGTGAGCCACTCTTAACAGTTCTGCAAATGGTGGGAACCTGCCCTGAATCCAAGTTCCTGGATCCCAGCCAATTGCCAAACTTGCAAGTAGACTTTTCTAATGATAGAGTCTGCACGTGTTATTTATATACCTATTTTTAATATTTTATTACCTTAGTTATTCACATCTGTCGTAATAGCATATATCCAATCCTTAAATTGAGTCACTTTGGGTATTTTGTCTCTACCCTTAAAAGGGAAAACTTTAAGGGAAGAAAACTTCCAGAAAATGAGATGGAAGTAGTTAGGCTGAATTAGAAGAAAAAATAAACTTAGAAATGATGGATTAGGATTATCCTTTTTTAAAAAACATAAGCCCAACTAATGCAAGGAAAGAGAAAGCATGAAAATATTTTTGGTCTAATATTTCTGTATATTGAGGAGATTAGAAATAACGTAAAAATGATTTTTGAGGTTTCAAATGTCAGGAAAGCACAGCAGTATTAAAATGTGCGATATCCTAACAAACAAAAGTCCAGGACCAGATGCTTTCACTGGTGAATTATACCAAGCATTTAAAGAATTAATAGCAATCCATCTCAATCTCTTCCAAAAGATAAAAGAGGAGGGGACACTTCCAAACTCATTTTATGTGGCCAGCATTACCCTAATACCAAACCAGACAAGGAAACTACAAGAAAAGAAAATTACAGGCCAACATCCCTGATGAACATAGATGCAAAAATCCTCAACAAAATATTAGCAAACCAAATTCAACAATACAGTAAAAGGTTCATACACCATGATCAAGTGGGATTTATTCCAGGGATGCAAGGATGGTTCAATATCCGCAAATCCATCAATGCAATACACCCCATTAACAAAATGAAGGATAAAAATTCTAAGATCATCTCAATAGCTGCAGAAAAAACATTTGACAAAATTCAACATCCATTCATGATAACAACTCTCAACAGAGTGGCTACAGAAGGAATGTACCTCAACATAATAAAGGCAATAAGTGACAAGCCCACAGCTGTCATCATACTTAACAGTGAAAAGATGAAAGCTTTTCTGCTAAGATCGGGAACAAGACATTGATGCACACTCTTGCTACTTTTATTTAACATAGTATTGGAAGTCCTAGCCAGAGCAATTAGGCAAGAAAAATAAATAAAGGCATCCAAATTGGAAAGGAAAAAGTAAAACTGTCACTATTTGCAGATGACATGATATATATAGAAAATCCTAAAGATGCCACCAGAAAACTGTTAGAACTAATAAACAAATTCAGTAAAGTTGGAGGATATAAAATCCATATACAAAAATCAGTTGTGTTTTTATACACTAATAACAACCTATAAGAAAGAAATTAAGAAAACAATCTCATTTATAATTGCATAAAAAAATAAAATACCTAGGGATAAATTTAACCAAGGAGTTGAAAGACCTATACACTGAAAACTATAAGATGTTGTTGAAAGAAATTGAACAAGACATAAATGAAAGATATTCCATGCTTATGGAGTGGATAATTAATATTTTTAAAATGTCCATACTACCTGAAGCAATCTACAGATTCAGTGCAATCCCTATGAAAATTCCAAAGGCATTTTTCACAGAAATAGAAAAAACAGTTCAAAAATTGGTGTGGAACCACAAAAGGTCCTGAATATCCAAAGTAATCTTGAGATAGAACACAGCTGGAGACTTCATGCTTCTTAATTACAAAATATATTACAAAGCTTTAGTGTGCAAAACTGTATGGTCTTGGCATAAAAACAGATACATAGATCAATGGAACAGAATATAGAGCCCAGAAATAAACCCATGCATAGATGGTCACTTAATTTATGACAAAGGATCCAAGAATATACAATGGGGAAAGGACAGTCTCTTCAATAAATGATGTTGGGAAAATTGGACAGAATGAAACTGGACCACTATCTTACACCATGCACAATAATTATCTGAAAATGGATTAAAGACTTGAACATAAGACCTGAAATCATAAAACTCCTAGAAGAAAACATAGGCAGTAAGCTCCTTGACATTGGTCTTGGCGATGCTTTTTTTGGATTTGATACTAAAAGCAAAGGCAACAAAGGCAAAAATAAACAAGTGGGGCTACATCAAACTAAAAAGCTTCGGCACAGCAAAGGAAACTGTCAACAAAATGAAAAGGCAGCCTACGGAATGGGAGAAAATATTTGCAAATCATATATCTGATAAAGGGTTAATATCCAAATTATATAAATAACTCATACAACTCAATAGCAAAAAAAGAAACATTCTGATTTAAAAATGTGTACAGGATCTGAATAGACATTTATCCAAAAAAGACAAACAGATGACCAACAGGTACATGAAAAGGTTCTCAACATCACTCATCATTAGGGAAATGCATATCAAAACCATAATTAAGTATCACCTCACACCTGTTTGAATGGCTAGTATCAATCAACCAAGACAAGAAATAAGTGTTGGAGAGGATGTGGAGAAAAGGGAACCCTTGTGTACTGTTTGGGGGAATGTAAATTGGTGCAGCCACTGTGAAAAACAGTATGGAGCTTTCTCAAAAAATTAAAAATAGAACTACCATTTGATTCAGCAATTCCATTTCTGGGTATTTATCCAAAGGAAACGAAAACACTGACTCATAAAGATATTGCACTGCCATGTTCATTGCAGCATTATTTGCAGTAGCCAGGATGTGGAAACAATGTAAGTGTCCATCGATGGATGAATAGAAAAGGAAAATGTGGAATATATTAAAAAATGGCATATTATTCAGCCATAAAAAAAGAAGGAAATCCTGCCATTTGCAACAACATGGATGGACCTTGAGGGCATTATGCTAAGTGAAATAAGTCAGACAAAGAAAAGCAAATTTCATATGATCTCACTTATATGTGGAATCTAAAAAAAAAAAAAAAAAACTCATAGATAAAGAGAAAAGATTGGTGGTTGCCAGAGATGGGTAGTTGGGAGTGAGTGAAATTGGAGAAGGTGGTCAGAAGGTACAAACTTACAGTTATAAAATAAATAAGTCCTGGGGATGTAATGTATAACATGGTTATATATGTGGTTATATACATATAATGTACACTATAGTTAATAATACTGTATTGTATATTTGAAAGTTGCTAAGAGAGTAGATCTTAAAAATTCTCATCACAAGCATAAAAAAAATTTTAACTGTGGTTATGGATGTTAACTAGAACAAAAAATCTTTGGAAGTGTGCGAGGTTGCAGGTACTAGTATATTTATCATATTGGTGTTTATATTATTGAAGAATTGGAAACAAATATCCAGCAATCAGGGATCTTAATTGATCCATGTTCTCAAAATTCAGTCACTTCCATACCTTCTTGGTTTTTCTCTAGTGGAGGACCATCTGAACTATTTAATATTTTTCTTTTAATTGACTTTTAACTTAAGCCCTGGCCAAAGCTATGATGACAGGAAAAGCATGGATCTGTGCTAATTACATCATTTCAAGTATACGTTTAAATAAATTCATAATTAAAATGAAGATATGTATCAGTAGTGTTTGTACCACACATGAGGAAAGCCCTGGTTAGTGGTACATCCATACAACACAGACTTTAGAGATGATGATGTACTTATATATTTATTGACTTTACAAGATGGCTTTTTTAAAGTATTAGGTGAAAAAACTATGCTCTATACATGCACTTTTGTAATAAATAAATTTATATTGTAATAATTAGGTTTATGTGCTTGGAATACTAACAGTGGTAATGGCTCAGTGATATGATTATGGGAAATTTTTTAAACTTTATATTCTAATTTCTTAAAATATTAATGAGCATATATGTTCTCATCATAATTTAAAAGTTAACTATAAATTCTTTTATTTTCTAAAAAAATCTTAAAATCTCTTAAATATTATTAAAAATAAGTTAATTTGGCGTTGTTTTCCTCTGTTTAAAATATCCGTACTTTTGCTCCCTTTCTTCGCCAATATTTACCTTTGCTTTTTGTCTTTACTTTGTCTTCTTTTGCTCTGTTTAAAACAGGCCATTCAGAAAGGCAATACAGAAGTTGCAAGAATACATGCTGAGAATGCAATCCGCCAGAAGAACCAAGCAATTAATTTTTTAAGAATGAGTGCTAGGGTTGATGCTGTGGCAGCCAGAGTTCAGACTGCAGTAACAATGGGCAAGGTAAGGCTTAATATCTGTAAATAATAGAAACTTGTGATTTAAGTTTAATGAGAGTATTAAGAGTTGTTAGAAATGTAAATCTATTGCAAGGTGCTACAGGGTGCTGGTAAAGGCCTTTATGGGCAGGAGAGACACAGTCAAAGTGCTTAGTGAGGAAAATGATTCTGGCATTGGATTTTAGACTAAGGTCTAATTAAGTTATCTTCCAATGAATAAAAGATAGTCAGTGCCTAGACCAGAAATACATATTATATTTTTCTGTTAAGGAAGGGGTAGATAAATTTCATTAGTTGATCTATAAGTAATATATTTAAGAGACTACTAAATTTTGAGATTACTTATATACTTATTCTTTTTTTACACTTCCAATAGGTAACCAAGTCCATGGCAGGTGTAGTTAAATCTATGGATGCTACATTGAGGAGTATGAACCTTGAAAAGGTAAAAAAAAAAAAAAATTATTTGGTGTTCAGATAGCATCTTTTCAGTGTAAGTTTTTCTATGACTATATTTCTTTTTACAGATTTCTGCCCTGATGGACAAATTTGAACACCAGTTTGAAACACTGGATGTTCAAACACAACAAATGGAAGACACAATGAGTAGCACTACAACCCTAACAACACCACAAGTAAGAATGGTTTCTGTACTTAGAATAACTTTTTGAAATTACCCAACTTCAAAATATAATGGCTTTGTGAGCCTAAATCATCTCTAGAATGCGAAGTAAACACGGCATATCCCTAAAATGCAACTAGAAAGTTATGCTCTGCCCCTGGATTCCTGAGGACATGTTGGAAGATGACATTCCCTATCACGTTTTGAAGTTCTAAGAAATATACTAGGTCACATGTCTAGAGAGTCTTGAACTTGGTATTCTGCCTTGCTGCCAGTGGTCCTTATTGATGAAGGCATTGCACTGGAGGTTCACTGAGGCCAATGAGTATTAGCTATTATCCTAAGCCTCAGCTAATTCATCTCATTGCAAATATTCTTCTCCTTCCTATCTACTCTTTTGGTGTGTTATTTATGCACAAGTCACAGGTGAACAAATAGTCAATTACAAGCTAAGTTATTTTTCGGAAAACTAGGATGTTTTCTAACCCTGCAACTTAGGCAGAGATGTGCTACAGGGAAAATTAAAATTTTAAACTAGTTTACATGACACATGAGCCAGAAGTAAAGTTTTGTGAAATTTAAATATTCAGATAGAAAATTATCACTCTTCTCTTTGATCCCAGCACCTATCACATGGTTAATCAAATGAACAAAGAGCCACTACTTTGGATGCTAATATGGAAAAATTATAATTTACAAAATAGGTTAGGAAGAAATCAACAACCATCCATCAAAATTTTGCTGCAGATAACTTTTCACGAAGAGGTAAATAATAAGAGAACATGCTTTTATTCAGGTTTTAGTGTTAAGAAGAAAGAAAGAATTCATGTGTATGTCTTAAAGTGAGCATATATTTAGCCATTACTTTTTTACATCCTCAAGAATGTAAAAAAGTGCTTGCTCCCCAAAGTGTGGTACAGTTATCAGGAACATCTGTATCATCTGGGTGCTTATTAGGAATGCAGAAATTCAGACCCCATTTACAGGCATACTGAATCAGAATCATTTTAACAAGATTCTCAGGTGATTTTTATGCACCAAGTTTGAGTAGCACTGTCCTACAGTTTCTGATTCTTATTCAAGCACCTTAGGTGATCCCCAGGTGATTTAATGATCAGTCAAGTTTAGGAAACACAAGTGAATTAGAAAGAGGACTTGAAGTCAGGACACTTGGATTTCTAATCCCTACACTGCCACTAATTAGCTTTCGGACCTTCAGATACCCACTACCCTGGGCCTCAGTTTCCTTAGCTATAAAATGTAGAAGTTGGGTTTGATGATATCTAAATGCCTTGTAGTTATGAAAAATCTTGAGATTCATTCACCCAACGTTTGCTAAGCACCTTCTCTTGTTTCAGGTATTGTGCTAGGTGCTGGGGACATTCAAATATATATAAACATTCTTCATAAAAAATCAACCAAAACTTACAGAAAATCACTTACAACAGAAATGGAGAGAGATCTGGTTGAACACACTTAGTTGTCCAAATTCTCATATCCTGCTAATGAGTAATTAGAATTTAAATTGGCATATCCACTTTGGAAAAGCAATTTGGTAATATCTAGTCTGTTCTTAACATAGGAGGCAGAGTGATCTTGTTAAAACAAGGCAGATCATGTCACTCTTCTGCTTAAAACCCTTCAGTGGCTCCACATCTCCCTCAAAATAAAGCCAAATTCTTTACAGTGGCTTTATAGGATCTGCCTCACCCTGCCCCTCTGACCTTATCTACTATTATTGCTCATCACTGTACTCAAGCACTTGGCCTCCTTTTTATTTCTCAAACACAGCAAGTATATTTCTGCCTCAAAGCCATTTCACTTGCGGTTTCCTCTGCCTTAATGTTCTTCCTCAGCCTTGCAGACATCCTCATTGCCCACTCCCTCACCTCCTTCAGTTCTTTGTTTAAATGTCATTTTCTCAGTTAGGTCTTTCCTGACTCTTCTACTTAAAAGTACATCAACAGCACACCCACCATGCCTATACTCCCTATCTACCATCCCTGCTTTATTTTTCTCCATAGTACATGATATCACCTTCTAATATACCATATAATTTTTTAAAAATTTTATTTGCCCCCCCTTTCACATGCACACGCTAGAATGTAAGGTGAATGAAGGCAAGGATTTTTATCATTTTTCTTCATTGATGCATCCCTAGCACTTAAAACAATATCTGACATAAAGTAGGTGCTCAATTAATATTTTTCAAATAAATTAGAGTATATGAAAATGCATGTAACCTATAACCTACTTCTATTTCCAAATTTATACACAAAGAAACCCCTACTTGTGTGTATAAAGATACTTATACATGAGACTGTTGATTGCACCATTGTCTATAATCAGGAGAAATTAGGGAAAAAAGTCTAAATGTCCAGAAATAAAATGGATACATAAAATTGAGTGTATTTCTATACTGCAGTATTATGCAGGAGTGAAAGTGAATGAACTAGATCTCTAGATCTCAATATAATTAGATCTTATAAGGTTGAATGAGAAAAGCAAGTTGTAGAATAGTGTACATAATATAAATACCATTTAAGTAAATTTTAAAATCACAAATAATGCTATTTATATATGAAGTAAAGACAACAAAATGTAAATGCACATAAGTATTTGATGTATTATTTTCTGAACTTTTCTGTATTTTGGAAATATTTTTAAGGTGAATGAAAGAGAACAAGAGAACTAAAGCCCAAGAGCTTGGTTAGTGATTTGCTTAAAATCATACACCTTGTTAATGATAGAGTTGGGACTATGTCTTAGAACTCCCACCTGAATGTCCAAAATATTTTAAACAACTAAGTTGAAAACAAGAGTTTTTTTGATTAGTCAGACTCGAGTCCCTGAGAACTCCTGTACTGTAGTAAAATCTCAATATTTATATTTTAATCATCTCTAGATATTTTTTGAAGAATAATCCTTAATATCAAATTTGCATCAACTAGCAGAAAGAAAAATTATGATTAATCTAAAATTTAAATCTATTATTCTTTAAATACAAGCAAAGTGGGTTAGAACAGAGCTTTATACATTGGTTCGCTCTGTTAAAGAGAGCTACATTACTCAGATTCAAATTACGTGTGAATATCGCTGCTAATATTTTTCACAAACCTCATAGTTTAAGGCTTTATAATTTAACATTATTCAGAAATAAATCATTTTATGAAATAATTCAGCTCCCTCTGGTGGTAAAAAAATATTTTTTTAAGAAAAGCTTTTTTTTAAAAAATTGTAGACCAGTTCTCCTTTTTTTGTTTTTCGATGAGGAAAATTAGCCCTGAGCTAACATCTGTTGCCAATCCTCCTCTTTGTGCTGAGGAAGATTGGCCCTGGGCTAACATTCGTGCCCATCCTCCTCTACTTTATATGTGGGACGCCTGCCACAGCATGGCCTGATAAGCCGTGCATAGGTCCACGCCCAGGATCCAAACCCACGAACCCCCTGCTGCTGAAGCGGAGTGCACGAATTTAACCACTATGCTACCGGGCTGGCCTCCAGTTCTCCTTTTTAAAGCAAAATCAGAAACAAAAACACCCAAAAAGCAAATGCCATTAAAATATAAGTTTTCATTTTCTTATTCTAGAACCAAGTGGATATGCTGCTTCAAGAAATGGCAGATGAAGCTGGGTAAGAAATTATTCAGGTGCTTTCGGATAATCTTGATTTAATATCTAGAGATCCTAAAATTATGTGATGTGCATAAAAATATTGGTCTTTACCAACAATGGTCAATTAGGTTTTTAACCCTAGAATTTAGTGTTAGAGGCCCTTTGGAACAGTCCATTCAGCTCTTTGCCATGCTCATAAAAAATGTAACTTTGTTCAAATCATCCTGATATTTTCTTAAAAATTTCTGGAGATACATTCATTTAGTGTATGATAAGAAATGCAGGAAGGTGATTGAGGGAGGTGGGAGTGTTTAAACATTTCCTCAATACCTTCTGTGTTCAGCATATATCAGAAGTTTGGAATTTTTTTTAAGGGATCTTCCAAAAGAATTCTGCTGTGATCAGACGATTAAGTCTTACGCCCTGTTTGAGTCCTGCAAACTGAGCCATATGTGCAGAATGTCCAAGGAGTTCAAAAGATGGCAACATTGCATCATTGCCGATGGTCATTTGTTTTTTAAAAACGTAAATAATTGACACCCTTTGTGGTACTGCTGTTCGAAATAGGGTGTCTGTTAATGGGCTGCTTATTTCATGCTCTTCATGTTTGAAGAGAATGACTTGACCATAATAATGTCTGTGCTACAGAAGTCATGTTATATCAGTATTCTTTGGTATATTATTTAGCTAAGGAGAAAATTGTAGTAAAGAATAAAAATATATTTTTTCAAAGATAAAGATGAAAACTGGGTTATACTAAAGTTTTATACTTTCTCTTCAGAGGTAGAGTAATTTGAAATAGGGTTCATGTACTCTATTCTTTTCTCCTTGAAAGAGAAAATTTGAAGACATTTAGAAAATAAAGTTGATGAATACTATTCTAGTGTCTAAACTAATACCTGATTAGAGTGAACAATTTATCAGCTCTTTAGATCACTAAAGTATCATTAGTAAATTAAAACCCAGGTTAATAAATCAGGTTTGCAATATTTGAGAACAGGGCTGGAAGTTAGGTTGTACACTATTTTGCTTTAGTATCCTGATGTAGCCCACATACCAACAGGGAGGTAGCAAGAAAGGTGATTTTTGCTAAGTATTATAAAAGAGACCACGGCATTGTGTGTCAGAAGACTTCATCTTAGTAATATGAGGCTAAGGACTTGTTTCTGTTTTTACCAAAGACAAAATAAGAAGATTGGGCTTGAAAATACTGCAAGGGAAGTCTTGTAAAATGAATATCACCACATTACAGTCTTGTGGACCCTCAGTGGAAATCAAGTTCAGTAGACAACTTTTTGATAAGATTTAGAGCAGGATTTCTCACCCTTGACACTATTGACATTTTGGGCTAGATAATCCTGGGGGATGTCCCAGGCATTGTAGGATGTTTAGCTGCATCCCTGGCCTCTACCCACAAGATACTAGTAACACCCGTCACCCCAGTTGTGACAGCCAAAAATGCCTTCAGACATTTCCAAATGTTCCTTGGGGGTGGGGGGCCAAAATCGAGAGAGATTAGTTATATCAATAATGGGTGGTGACTGGAGCAGTAGAAACAGGTAGAACCACTGATGGCAAAATACTGATGCCCATCCTTATAGATGTTTAAGTATCCGAATTCTTTTTGAGTTTGTGATTCCTTCAACAAAATTTTAGTATAGCATATATTTACCTTTTAAATAACAATCTGTCTATGGAATCTCCTAATGACTGGTAAAGTTATTATATTCCCTGTAGTGTTTTCAAACTAGAATTAGCTTTAGCATACACTGGTCTAGAGATAGGCAGAAAGGCCAGTTTATATCCTAGAGGAGTAGTTATAATGGAGATTAAAATCACAGGCCTTAGAGGTTGACAAGCCTGGGTTCAGAACCTGTCTTATCACTAGGGTCATCCTGGACAAGCGTACTTAACTTTTCTAAACCTCAGTTGTATGGGTGGATGCAAGTAATGATTCCTACTAAAGGTAGCTCAGGAGCTAGACACTGACCTTGAAGTTAGCTCAAATGTTAGATATGGATCCTGAGGCTACATTTATCTAGTCTGGTTTATCTGTTTTGGCATATTAATTTTCCTTCCCAGTAGGAGACATATAGTAATCTCCAGTAAATTGAATACATTGGATGACCATTGTTTTGGTCTTTTGTTCGGATGACCAGATCATTTTCCTGTCTTTTATTAGTTTTTCTATCATAAACTTATCATCCACGTGGGTCATCATTAGGGCTCAACAAAAACACTTTAAAATTAGTAAATTCATGTATCCTAAGGTGGACACTCAGAATATATTTAAGTTCTATTTACATTTATAAATTTGGACCAGTTTTATTTTTATTTAAATTAAGGTAAATGGTTTGTGGAATATTCACATTTGCAATAAACCTATTTTATTGCTTATTATAATTAGATAAGGAGGAAAATGCCTATATTAACATTCATTTATGCTAATTATTTTTAAATTGTAGCCTTGATCTCAATATGGAACTACCACAGGGTCAGACAGGTTCTGTTGGCACAAGTGTTGCTTCTACAGAACAGGTAGAGGTTTGATTTTATCTTGATTAGTATGAACTTTATGTATGAATTAAATATATATTATATGTATTTATATATACTTTATTATTTTATAAAGTATTTCTCTACTATAATATGACATCATAAATTAGCAAAATGTGATTAGCCTTTAATTCCGTAATGATGGACGTTTTCTATTTGCATGCACATTTCATTTAGAAATTGAATTTGCTCCCCTTCATAGCTTCTGCTCTATTAAGCTCTTCATTTATTCTGAGATGTTTAAAAAGTAAACTGTAAATTTTGGTTTTTGTGTACATTTTTGAGCCAAGATTTTAAATTTTATTTAAAATGAGGGCTATTTAAAATATTAGTGATTTATATTTGTCACAGCTTGTGACTTTTAAAATTTGCTTTCTCCAGGATGAACTATCACAGAGACTTGCTCGTCTACGTGATCAAGTGTAATTTAAAGAACTCGTGTTTTTGTTTACTTCACTTGCCTCTGAAATACTTTGTGTGTATATATAGATAAATTGCACTCCACTTACACTAAGAACACCATATATTACAGAATGCTTAAACAGTATTTGTATATAATGCTTTCTTTTGCCTTTCTGTACTTTCCGATACTTGAAGAAATTTCAGAGAGTTTCCACCTTGACAGATTTTACAGTTTTGTATACTGTGTTGAAAAGTATGAGGGACATCTTTTTTTGTAGTTGTCTTTGACTAAGCTAGCCTTAGCTTATTGTATATGAAACATCGTTCTCAAAAATTACATCAAAAATCTAGCACCAAAGTACTACAGAAAATAGTACTTTATACAGAATAAAGTATAGAATAAAGGTTTTGGTTTCTTTTTAATTCAAAGCAGTTTGAAATATCTGTCTGCATACACATGTGATGTGTGAAAATAAAAGGGAAAACGTGTTTACTTAATATGTTTACATAACCAAAACACCTCATTTAGCATCATACAATGGGCAGTGCCATTTTTTGTGTTTTATGTTTGTGTTTGTTTTTGCTATTCAAGCAGAAATGCAGTTGACTTTTAATCTATATTCATTAGCTTTTAAATTTAGATTATTATTGGAATTTTTACCCAGGAATCTAATGACTATTATTTTAATTCTTTAAATTTAAAAAAAAAATTAATTGATAATTTTCCCATATAACCAGTAAAAATCTGCAACATTAAAGAAATTAAGGTTTACTCATTTTTTACATTTTCTTTTTGCTAAATATCACTGTTGCTAAGACTCTCAGAGAAAGTTAACCTTTCATACTTTCAAATGAAATTGAAACACATTTTTAATGATTCTCCTATTTCTACTCAACCCTTGTTAGGCTGTATTTTAAAAGGAGATTAAGTTGCATGGCCTCAATATCATTTTCATTTTCCATAGGATTGTTGATTGGTTTTTGAGAATCTTGGCCTATTTTTTTAAACCAACCAACAAAAAATATCAACAAAGAAAACAAAATTGAACCAACTCAAATTACAACTACTATAAGTCCTGGTTAAATGTGTTCATTCTTTTATCTTAAAAAACAACTCTTTAATAACTGGAAGAAATGAAGTAGAAACAAATAAGTTGGAATAAAATGTTTTATCCAGCCATGTGAATAACTTCCAGCTCAGTGGAAGTTGGGAGCACAACATAGGGCATAGAGGGAAAGAAAAGTCATAAAGTTGTAAAGAAGACTAGACTCTGGAAGGCCAGGATCTGTGGGGAAAAGCATTTGATGACCAGCTGTACTACTTGCCATCTCCTCAGGCATATCTATATTTTACCCAACTAAAATGAACAAATTAACATGTACCTGCAATTTTCTGCTATAATGGTCTCAAATGTGGAGAAGTGACCAAGTTATATTTTAGCAAGTATACTACTAATCTAGGTTACGTAGGTACGGTGTTTTTCCTTACTTCATGATTGATCTATGAAATAATTCCAATATTTCATAAAGTTCTATTGAAGAGTAGATCTGTAGGGAAATCCTTTCATTGTAAGTCATGAAGGCATTCAAAGTGCAATTATGGAGAATCTTTTTTGCTGAGTATTCACCGTTCATACATGAGATTTCCTACTGTAAATGAGAGCATATATAAATGAAGATTATTTTCACTGGTTAATGAAATGAGAAATTATTCTTTTGCTAAGTTTGGGTTCAACTTGTTGAACTTTCTTGGTACTTGACTATATGTTGTGACCTCAATGTGGTAATCTTCCATTTTGTTTATAATTGATGCTTTATCCTTTCTACTTAAAGGGTAAATTTATTTGTTTGTATTGGAACATTCTGAGGAGCCATAGAAGAAATTATTACAGACTAAAATATCTATGAAATAGTTTTCTTATTTTGTGTTAGTGGGAATTGTAGCTTTTGTTCTTTTGACTTGAATAAAAATTGTTAAATTGTGAATACAGCTTACTTAAATCTAGAAATATAAGTGATTCTGATCTAAAGATAACTGCTCGTAGTTTTATTTAACAGACATATCAGATTGGTCTTGTAAAAATATTGTTCTCTGATAGACACCAAGTTGTACTTTTGGATTCATCTATTGTCTTGTAATAAAAATTTATTTCTTACAATTTGTTTTTAGAGCAATATCCCCACAACCTGTGAACTCTTGTTAGTATAAATTACATTTCTAATTTGATAAGTCATTCGATAATTGAAAAGTAACACGTCAGACTATACTATCATGAAAGCTAGACATCATAGCACCTTTTATTTACCTTCAGTTTTAGTTCCCTATCAATCTAATTTTCTCCTGATATTTTTCCTGAGTATTTGATTTATATCATTTGGTAGAATGTATAAAGTCAAATGCTCCAGAACATTTTGCTGCACCTTCATCCTTTAGACAATGTGGCTATTATTTAAAGAAGTCTTAAAACGCACCCCTGACAAAAATTATACCCCTGCTCCTATGCCTCGATGCCTATAATCTTTGACCTTCCTGTGAACCATCTTAGGTAAGCATTATGGGCTAGATTATTTTACCTGGTTAATTTATTACCAGTCATTGTTACAGAGAGGAAACAGGAATAGGAGATAGAACAGATGATATGGTAAGATAAGAAGATGAGTTTGCTTTATAGTTTAGAGAGATGGGAAAAGAACCTCTGGATGAATTATCTGAAGAGAATCTAAGGGTACTAGTTATAAAGAAAATAAGATGAAAATGATTGATAGAGTGCCAAAGACAATCTTAGCCTAATTTTCTGTGGATTAACTGAAGTTAGTAGATAACAGCTCCAAGATAAAGTCTTAAATTGGCTGTAGCATAGACTGTAGAGGAAAAAGCTCTGGATCTGATCTATAGTGATTGATGTGGGTTTCTAGCCCTATGTCTGATACTAACTTCTAACTTGGATAATTCTCTTACGCCGTTCTGGGCCTTAGATTCCCTTTCTACAAATCTTTTCAGAGTACATTGGTTGTGTAAATTGAAATTAGTTGCTGTAGTACAGTACATTCCTACCATTCTTTTCTGTTTTCTACCATTCCCCCAAAAGAATTTAAAGTGCAGTATTATGATGTTATAGGTCTTAGAATCTTTTGTCTCAGAGACCTAGAGAACATCTAGTCCACCCCACCACTCATTTTATGGAAGAGGAGACCAGAGAGATTCAGATCCACCAGATTTGATCTACTATGTGTTAGGAACGGTTCTGGGTACTTTGATATATTGTGGTTTATTTAATCCTCAAAAGAATCCTGTGAGCAGGTGGATGACTTATCTCCATTTTTAGAGAACAGGAAACTATGCTGATAGTTTAATTAGATTGCAAAGATTCATACAGCTACTAAAAAACAGAGCTGGGATTTTATTACAAATATGTCTCACTTCAAATCCAGTGCTCATAGCACTGTACTAGAACCTGGATTCTAACTGGAATTATAAGTCTTGTTATACCTCATCCACATTCTATTCCCACTATATAGTTTTCTGAATTTGTTGCTGAGACAGACAGTGAAAGCTACTAATCAAATTCTTGACCTGGGGGTAGTTCATCCCAAGACACAGGTGTTGAGCAGAGTGTTTCTAGGTGAGGATTGGTTCTTTTTTCCTCAGAGTGAGCTATCAGAAAAATAAGACTTTATTCCGATTTGGAAATCATAGCTGTTTTTCCATAAGTTAACAAATGGAATCAATTTGTTACAAAGTTAACCAAGTTATATTCATGCTCAAGATTTTCTTTTTCCACACTGGAAAATGCTCCCAAGCTAAAAGATATATTGGTAAAAATAATTCAACTGAAATTGCAAAAATAAAATCTATCCAACCTACTGATGATACTGTCTATATTCCTGTAAATATACTTCTCTACTGTAGTAGCAAATAAATGACTAATGTCTGCCAGACAGCTAAAAGCCTTCTAGCCTTCAGTTAAAAAAATCAAAATAGGATGTTAAAGGAAAATTTATGCCTAGTAAAATAAATTACTTGTTCTGTTTTATGTTTGTTCTCAAATTTAGTAAGGGAAGGCAAAAAGTCTTCATTTAATATGTTGCTTGGTCACTAAAATAAAGTTGGGTCCCATGTTCCAAATGATGGTTCATAAAATGAACTCTGTATCTGTTTCTTAGAAATCTTACTCAAACTTGATCATGCCAGAGCTTGACATGTTTAGCTTTTCCTTTATGAAAATGACATGAAATCATTGAGAGGAAAAAGATTAAAAATTTTGGAAAACGTTACTGCACAGTAATTTTATGTCACTTCCATAAAGGGATTTGGATGTTGAAGTAATACAATAATTAACAAGGACTTTCTCTATATATATTTTGATCATTTCTTTAGATTCAGTCCAACATAAAATCTAACAACCATTCTGGGGTTGAATGAAAGACGTGATGGAGGATGCTTTTCCAGGTAATGGGAAGAAAAGCAAGATTCCCAATTACTAAAATCTGTAGAGATTTACCAGCTCAATATGCTTTTTTGAGGCCCTCCAGGTGGAATTGCCTATTTACAGAAGAAAGAAAATTGAATCCAAAGCCAAATTCATTATTCCCATTCGTGTTGCACCACTGTAAGCTTCATAAAGAATGGGCATTACTTAGCTAGGGTGAGGATGGCTACACCATCCCACTTGCAAGGGACCTGAAATTATCTTGCTTCCTTTTAACTGACCAAGAAGGCCTGGACCTATGGAAAAACCTTCCTATTGCTATAAATCTCCAAATAGAACCATACCTGAGCCACCTCAATTCTTCTGAGGCTGGGTGTGAGGGTAGAGAGTGAGAAAGAGGTTCAAAATAGCAACCCTCGTTGAAGTAGGAACTTTACACATTAAATATTTATTCAGCACTTACTATGCACAAAGCCCAAACTTGTTTTCACTATACTGCCCAGATGTTTGATGATTCAAAATGTTTAAAGATTTTGTTTTTGAGGGAAGGAAGGCGATAACCAACATATATTAAGTACCAGTTGTATAGCTATGCACTATTTTTACCTGAGTTACTTCATTTACTCCTGCCAACAACTTCATGAGGTGAATATAATCCCATTTTACAGATAAGAAAACTGAAACTCAGGCTGTTACTTGTCCAAAGTAATTATAATAATAGTTAACACATTTTGAACACTTGCTCTATGCCAAGCACTATTCTAAATGTTTCGCATGTATTAACTCTTTTAATCCTGACAACTTCCATTTTATAGATGAAGATTAGTAAGTGGCAGGGCTGAAATTCACACCAAAATATTTAAATTCTTTCTGTTTGCAAGGAACCCAGATAAGCTCAGATCATGTCGGCTAAAGAAGATTTATTATAAAGATATGTAGAGAAATACAAGATCAAGACACCATTTTGATAACCACACAACCAGGCCTCATAGAAAACTGAAATGTTTACATACTCAGGATACAATAGTAGCTCTAGTAGTCTGACAAGAGAGATGGATTATCAATACCTCTAATATAACTTCCCCTCAGAAACTATCTTTTGCT